GCGCTCCCTCAGTACTGACCCTCCGACAGTGCGGCGCTCCCTCAGTACTGACCCTCCGACAGTGCGGCGCTCCCTCAGTACTGACCCTCCGACAGTGCGGCGCTCCCTCAGTACTGACCCTCTGACAGTGCGGCGCTCCCTCAGTACTGACCCTCCGACAGTGCAGCACTCACTCAGTACTGACCCTCCGACAGTGCGGCACACCCCAGTGAAGTTTTTGTTGTTTAAATCTCTAGAGTGAGATATCCGTTTGAACAATTGTAAAGAGCAGGCTGTGAAGATGTTTTCCTGTTTGCTAGGGCGATTTGTGAATGTCCATGACCCAGAAAGCCTTCACTTTGTGTGAGATGTAGATCAGGGGATTTTCAAGCTGAGCTATAGCTGACAGAAAGAATTCGCAGAGATTCTGGTTTTAACCAAATGTCTCTGTTTCCTTTGTTCGCAGCTGAGATACCAGTGTTTCCTCCAAAATTTGATATCATCAACGATGCAAGTCTTGCAAAGGTACTGTCGACTCGTACTGGAAGATAGGAGGAATTTGAGAGCAGGAGGTGGGGGGTCTTTGAGAAGATGGGCAGCGGGTAGGGAGTGGGTGAGTAGAGAGAACGAAGTGAGTGGGTGGAGGAGGCAGAGGGAGGGGAGTGGGTGGAGGAGGCAGAGGGAGGGGAGCGGGTGGAGGAGGCAGAGAGAGGTGAGTGGGTGGACGAGAGCAAGGGAGGGTGTTGGAGGAGAGAGAGGGAGCAATTGGGTGGAGGAGAGAGAGGGACAGGGTGGGTGGAGGAAAGAGAGGAAGGGAGGGTGTGGAGGAGAGAGAGAGAAGTGAGTGAATGGAGGAGGCGGGAGTGTGTGTGGGTGGAGGTGGTGGGGGTGTGTGGGCAGAGGGGTGTCATTTTGGACACTGTCCTTTCAGCAAACCGAGAGATTTAGCCAAGTACAAGGGTTTGAATCTGCCACACCCTCCTGCCTGTGTAGATGCTTTGGTCGTTGCTTTGTCTTGACTAATCCCTTTGGATAACGGCCTGTATTCTGTGCTGAGCTAAACTCTGAAATGGGTGTTGGGGGCTGACTGGTGTGAAGTGACTTGTCTTACGGGTATGGCTGGGGCCCTTCATTGTGACAGTAAAGGAAGCTCCAGTCTGTCAGTAAACCCGTGCCATACCTGTCCTGCACTAGAATGATGATAATGGAGGGAAGTTGTCAACTCCTCATCACTAAAGTTTGCTGATTGAAGTTTGAAATGTTGTGATGTTTGGTTGCGCTGTGAATGATGTTTCAGTCTGTATTTACTGAGTGTGTGTGTGTGATGGTGGGGGTGACCTTTGTATTTCAGACTGTGGTCAGTGCTGTTCACCAGCTGCTGAGGATCACAAAGTCTCTGATGAAATGTCGGGATCTGATCCTGCGAGGGACATATTGGATAACGTGAGTAACTGGGAAAGGCGAGAAACACCTCTCACTGAAAAGCAGGCTCTGCAGGGTCAGTTATTGTCTTTGTGCAGTGCTGTGACATCATTACCACAGTTATTTCCCACTTACAACCAGGGAATGAATTTCGTGGCTTGAGGAGGTGCCCAGTTTCATACCTTCAGACTGTACAACGTTGCAGTGTCTGGGAGTCTGTATGCTTTGGAATCAGTTACTGTATTAAAGGTGCCATTAAAACAAGATGAGTGGATTGTGTTTGAGTACCTTGAACATAGTAAATCATACCAGACACTTTGCTACAAAATTCTATCTAACCCTGTGCTGTCTCTGCCCTGGGAATGTTTGATGGGGACAGTGTAAAGGGAGCTTTACTCTGTATCTAATCCTGTGCTGTCCCTGTCCTGGGAGTGTTTGATGGGGACAGTGTAAAGGGAGCTTTACTCTGTGTCTAACCCTATGCTGTCCCTGTCCTGGGAGTGTTTGATGGGGACAGTGTAAAGGGAGCTTTACTCTGTATTGAACCTGTTTCGGGACGGTTTGATGGGGACAGTATATCTAACAAACTTTGGCACCAAGCTGCTTAAAGGAACATTATGGCAGTTTAGCAAAAGAGAGAGATTTGTTTGAGCAACTAAAAGGAGAGATTTGAAGGTTCAGGGAGTTTAGCATCCAGATAACTGAAGGGCATGGCTGCCAATGGAGGAGTGATCAAAATCATGGGACGTTCAAGAGTCCAGAATTAGAGCGTGCAGATATCTGACAGGGAGATGGGGCTGGAGGGGATAACAGAAATAGAGAGGGCTGAGTGCATGGAGAGATGTGTGAAAATAAAGCAGAGATTGAAAACTGAGGGTTTGCTTAACTAGGAGCCAGTGTAAACCACAGGACTAGATGTTAGTTGGACGTTGGTCAACAGAGATGAGCTTAAGTTTTTGGAATGTGGAATATGAGAGGCCAGCTAGGACTGATCTGAATGAGATAGTAGGAACTGCAGATGCTGGAGAATCTGAGATAACAAGGTGCAGAGCTGGATGAACACAGCAGGCCAAGCAGCATCAGAGGAGCAGGAAAGCTGACATTTCGGGCCTAGACCCTTCTTCAGAAATGGCGGAGGGGAAGGGGGTTCTGAAATAAATAGGGAGAGAGGGGGAGGCGGATAGAAGATGGATAGAGGAGAAGATAGGTGGAGAGGAGACAGACAGGTCACAGAGGCGGGGATGGAGCCAGTAAAGGTGGGTGTAGGTGGGGAGTTAGGGAGGAGATAGGTCAGTCCAGGGAGGATGGACAGGTCAAGGGGCCGGGATGAGGCTAGTAGGTAGGAGATGGGGGTGGGTCTTGAGGTAGGAGGAGGGGATAGGTGGGTGGAAAGGCAGGTTAGGGAGGCGGGGACAAGCTGGGCTGGTTTTGGGATGCGTTAGGGGGAGGGAAGATTTTGAAGCTTGGGAAGTCCACAATGAGTTGTCTTTCCAATTGGGTTTGAGGCTGTTAATAATCTAAGTTACTCCTCCAAGGGCTCTGCTATATTGCCTACCCTTTGTACTAATCACTTGATCCAGAGATGGCCTGAGATACAGCCAGGAAGTTGTGGAGAAGCTCAACAGGTCTGTGGAGTGGGAAAAGATAGAGTTAACATTTTGAGTCTGGGGTGACTGCTCGGAGTTGGAAAAATTGTGTGTTTTCTCCTGATGTTAAAGGTGGGGAAGGGCAATTAGAGCAAATGGGAAGTTCCAGTATAGGGTGAAGGGTGAGGGAGATATGAGATCAAGGTATTATGGAGCAAAAGGGCAAAAAGGTTGGGTGCTAAATGTGAAGAAAAGGCAAAGTATAAATCCAGAGTAAGTGTTAATAGCAGAGTATTCGTCAGGACCTGCCTGAAATGAAAATCAGGAATACACCACATTGTGGGGGAGCTTAAAAAAATCAAAATGGAAGGCAAAGAAAGTCTATGTTTGATGTTCGGTCTGCTGTGTTCACTGCACTTGGCCAGAACTGTGATTGGGGTGATGCCTCTGGCTTAGAGAGGTTGAAAATCAACCAGTAATCCCTACTTGGAAAGTTCTTATATGTGTGCGTGTACAGAAACAGTGAGAAGATGGAGTTTGACCATGGCTATGTTTAGATAGTATGGTATTGCATATTGGATTCTCACATACTTGTCAAATTAATTTTGATTAAACTTGTACACTGTCTGAGATAGACTGTCGCTTGAATGTTTATTGTAGTTCTGGTTGCCAAGAAACAGGAGCCATATTTGATCAATGGCGACAGAATGAGGACAAGGAGACAAATCCCAATGTCAAGGTCTGTCAACAGGCTAAAAGAACTTGGGGTCTTTAGCCCGAGAGAAGGCTTTGGAGAACTGAGTACAGAAAAGGTTAACCTGCAATATTGCTTTAAGGTAATTAGTTAAGTGAACCTTGGTTCAAACAGCAGAATTACCAGTGGGTGTGCAATGAGCTCCAAGCCATTATAATGGCATTGTTATAATGAAGGAACTGTGAATGAATAAATTAACATGGGCTGAATGGCATTCCTCAGCTGTGACTATCCTGAGGTTCATAACCAGGTGATTTGTGTCTCAGATAACAAGGTGTAGAGCTGGATGAACGCAGCAGGCCAAGCAGCATCAGAGGAGCAGAAAGGCTGACATTTCGGGCCTAGACCCTTCTCAAGCTGTTTGGAAGAGAGGTCTGGTGATGCAGTGACAGTGTCTGTGTGTTTGAGATTCTGGCTAAAGAGATAGGTGTCATGTTGTAGCCAAACAGCTTGCCCGTAAATAATCAGTAATTCCTTCTGAGCCTATGGTAGGGGGTATGTTTGGGAGGAGATAAAAAGACTGCAGATGCTGGAATCCAAGGTAGACAAACAGGAGGCTGGAAGAACACAGCAAACCAGCCAGCATCTGGAGGAAAGGAGAGTCAATGTTTTGGGTATTACCCTTCTTCAGAACTGGATGTGGAGGTAGGGGGATAAAGAGAGGTGGGAGGGGTAGCGGAATGGTGGTGATAGGTGGACACTGCTAGTAGGTGTGACATGGTTGGTCGATGGGAGGGATTAATCCAGTTGATGGCTGGAAGGGAGAGTCAGAAGGTGGAATGGAAGGGAGCCAGGAAATGGGTGGGAAGGTTATTTGAAATTGGAGAGCTCAATGTCAAGTCCTCCGTGCTGTAGGGTGCTCAGGCGTAAGATAAGGTGTTATTGTTCAAGTGGAAGATAAGGTGTTGTTGGGAGAGTGAGCCAGAACTGAACATGCAATAGAACATTCTGCCTGCTTTAAAGGATTCCTTGGGCAGGTTCTTGCCTTGACTAAGTGTCACACTTTTACCAAGAGATTACTCTGGTTTGACAATTGTAAACTTGTCTCATTAAAAACTGGGCAATTGGTGTTTTAATCCTAAATGGGTGAATGGGCAGATCATGGACTTACTGAATGGAGACAATGTTTTGGGTTCAGTAATCAATGAGTGTGTCTGATGAATGGTCTGATTGACATATTAATAATCGCTTTCTCTTTTTTGGGGTAGCACATCGGCTCAGTGGTTAGCACTGCTGCCTCACAGCGCCAGCGACCTGTGTTCGATTCCAGCTGCGGGTGACTGTGTGGAGTTTGCACATTCTCCCCGTGTCTGCGTGGGTTTCCTCCGGGTGCTCCGGTTTCCTCCCACAGTCCAAAGATGTGCAGGTTAGGTAAAATTGGCCATGGGAAATTGTCCCGTAGTGTTCAGGGATGTGTAGATTAGGTGTGTTAAAGGGGGATGGGTCTGGGTGGGATGCTTTGAGGGTCAGTGTGGACTTGTTGGGCCGAAGGGCCTGTTTCCACACTGTAGGGATTCATTGAATGTTTCGGGTTCAGTAATCAATGAGTGTGTCTAATTGACATATTAATAATCGCTTTTTCTTTACAAGTGCAATTTTGAAGAAAGAATGTGAGACAATTCTTCAGCAATTGACAACGTTGAATCTGAAGCTAAGTTTCTGTCAGGACACCATGGTACAAGGCCACAAACTGTGAGTACTCACTGAGATTGTCATTCCCAATCAGGAATATCATACAGCTACAAGATAGTAAAAGGCTAGTGTACATCGAGTTCTAGATGTTTTTTAGCCAACCTGTTCAGATATTTTATTACAGACCTCTGGATCTCAGCACAGGCTCTCTGACAGTGCGGCGCTCCCTCAGCACTGACACTCCGACAGTGCGGCAGTCCCTCAGCACTGACCCTCCGACAGTGGAGCACTCCCTCAGCACTGACCCTCCGACAGTGCGGCGCTCCCTCAGCACTG